GGGGCGCAGCTTTGTATGCAATGTTTGTGCTACTAACGTTTCCTTTGGGATTATTCCTTAGGAAAGGACGAAAAGGAAGCCTTGATAAATGGAAGTCCACGACTCTGCAGAAGCAGGAAGCCAAATGTGTCTCTGCTTGTGGCGAAGGTCTCGTTCTTGAAACAAGGCTTGTACAAGAGGTCAGCGCGGTTCTTTTCTTCTTCCGTGGTTTGTGCGGTGCCTTCCAGAAGCAGGCTCCTCAGGTGTGCCCAGGCCCAAGGCTTGGATGTCCACTGCAGGGGTCACGGACTGGCCATGTCCTGAGGCAGGAAGGGTGCAAAGCATGGCCACTTGCTGGGATGGCGCGTGCCACCAAAATGGAGATGCTGGGGGTGGGGCTGGTTTCAGCTCAATAGGGATAGGGAAGCCCTGAAGGGGGGCTGCTGCCTAGAGTCTACCACCTGGCCGATTCCCCTGCGCGCCTGCTCACTGGCTCGCTCTGACTGAACAAACTGCCTGCAGGTGGATCTTCCGCTTGGGAGCCCAGGACCTGAGTAGGGCCCTGCCAAAGACGGGCCAGGCTTCCCCCTGGAAGGGTCAGCCCTTGAGTGCTCCATGAAAACGGAAGGCCTTGTGGCCTCTGACTGCTCTCTTCTCCTTTCAGGCCTGTGCACACACCCCCATCATGTTCTGGAAGTTTGATTTGAACACCACGTCACATGTGGACAAGCTACTGGACAAGGAGGGCGTGGCGTTGCAGGAGCTGATGGAGGAGGATGACCTTCTCCAGGAGTGCAAGGCCCAGAACCGCAAGCTGGTGGACTTCCTGTGCCAGCCGCCCTGCTTGGAGGAGCTGGTCAACCTCATCACCCACGAGCCTCCGCTGGACATGGAGGAGAAGGTCCGCTTCAGGTATGTGGCGGGGAGGAGGGAGGGCTCCTCGCTCTAGGCTTAGGGGAGGAAAGTGGGCCGGTGGGTGGGTGGGTGGGGAGAGGACCCTACATCCCTGTGCCCCGACTGGGAGAGAGCACTGGGAAGGTCAGAGCCTGGTGTCATGGCCCCTGCTGGCCTGGGCAGCCACAGGGAGAGGCCGGGGGAGCCTTCTGGATTGTGGTCCAGCGGTCAAGGCGCGGAGATGCGGCTCCAGACTGCCAAAGGCATGAGTGGAGCCCGTGGGTGCAGAAGAGCGGCCCTTTCTTCCCAGGAACCTGAAGGCGAGGACAAAGGAGCATCGCCCGGGGTTTGGGGGCCCAGGCGGAACGCGATCTGCCCCACGTAGTGCGTGGTGCCGGGGTGGCTGCCGCCTCCCATGGGCCCTGGCTAACCTAGAGGTTAGGGTTAGGGTTGGCTGCAGTCCAGAAACTTGCAGAAGGCCCTCGCTGGCCACGCCACTATGGGGCATCAGGCTGCCCCAGTCTAGCCGTGGAGGGCGTGGGGAGAATGTGTCCTTCTCTGGAAGACTGGCAGGGGGGTGCTGCTAAGAGAGGGGCACAAGGCTGGCGGAGCAAGAACTGTGCCCTCACATGGCTAGAGAGTGGCTGGGCTTGTTCCCATAAGAAGCAGTTCCTGGGGCAGGCTGATCCTGCCTGGGCACCAGGGCCCAGAGCTCCTGGTGCTGCTGCTTTCCCAAGCCAGTGGACTAGTCGAGTGGAAGCCTTGTCTGCTCTGTTCTTTCGTCATGTGGAACAAGCCTGCTGCCTGGGGTACCTGAGGACAGCCAGCCACCCTGGTCGTGGGTAATAAAGATGAGCTCGTATCACCCAGTGAAAAGGATGTCAGACGACCGCAAAACAAGACCAGGCAACCCAAACCTGAAGGCTCGGTTCCTGTGAGGCTGATGGGCTGTGCGGGTCTTTGAGTCTTCGCTCCTCTGCCTCTGAGCCGTTGGCAGGAACAAAGCCAAGCAATGCCTCCTTTCCAGGGGAAGGGTGTGACCTAGTGTTGGGGGAGGGTGTCCCTGGGCAGGATTGGGAGGGGGGCAAAGGGGGGGGTTGCAAACGTTGGTCTTCCTAGCAGGCCCTCAGGCTTTGCACAGGGTCATATTGGAGACCTCAGCCATCTCCTGAGATGCCCAGGATGCGGCATGGTTTTTGGAAGGGGGGGCAGGACCAGGGCGTGGTGTTGGGACAGCCCCAGTGAGGTCAGGTGTCCACCTCATTCTTGACTGGGGGCAGCGGGGGGGGGACGATGACAAGGCTAGAACACTGGCCAGTCAGGACTTCCTATCGGGCACCAATAAAGGCATCGGAACTCGGGGGCGGGGGGAGGGAGTTTCTAGTCCTGAATGGAAGCACAACCTTCTGCCAAGGGCCAGGCGAAAGGCTTATTGGCACCTGAAGCGCCGAATGCTTGGAAAACAGGATGCCTAATGGCGCTGGGAGGCCTTTTGCTGTGCTGGGCAGGAGGTCCAAGCAGCAGTTTCGGCGGGCCTGGGGTGCAAAAACCAGGAGGCCCACGCTGGGTGGCCTGGCCTTCCTGTCTGCATATGTGAAGGCCAGGTGGATGAACGGCAGGCCTCCAGGGGTTCTTTGGCTGCCGCTCCCACCCGATTCAGCTCACGTAGTAGCCAAGGGGGAGGAGTGCTGGTACTTGGGATTTCAACACCCCTACCCCAATTTTAAAGTCTGTCGCGGAGCTAGAAGGCGAAAAAGGGCCCAGCAGTGTCTGTTTCCCTTGCTGGCTCCCAGCCAGCCAGGAGCCCTGCACTCCTTTGGACTCTTCGGGTCCTTTTGGGCCACCGCAGGGTCAAGGGTGGCCTTTGTTCTGCTCCTGAGCGGCGGCTCCCTTTGGGCAGGTATCCCAACACAGCCTGTGAGCTGCTGACGTCGGACTTGCCACAAATCAATGACCGGCTGGGAGGAGACGAAGGCCTGCTGAACCTCCTCTACGGCTTCCTGGAGCAGGAGCCTCCCTTGAACCCTTTGCTGGCCAGCTTCGTTAGCAAGACCATCGGCAACCTCATTGCCAGGAAGACGGAGCAGGTGAGACTCGGGGGCTCCGTCCTTGGGGTGTCTGTGAGCCCCCTTTTCCCCCCTGCCTGCCCTCAAGTCCTGGGAAGGCTTAGGGACCTTCGGTGTGCTCGCCTTAGGCGAACTGGCGGGCCATCGTCTGTGTGAGAGAAGGCCATTCCTGCCTTACTTGGATCTCTTCAGGGCGCCCTTCCAAAGAAGATGTTTTTAAGGCTGGCCATGTCACCTTTTCAGCCCCAGAGGGGGAACAGCTCCTTTTTGTTTAGAGTTGAAAGGTGGAAGCTTCCTTTTTGATTTGGGGTTGAGTACATTTTATATTTTGCTCTAGTAAGTTTGACAGCCTGTGCAGCTCCCAGGGGATTCTTGTGAATGAAGGAACACCTTATAGATTGTGAAAATAAGGGAAGCGTTGTAAAAGTTCAGGATGTGTCTTCTTTTTTTGAAGGTAATTTCATTTTTGAGGACGAAAACCCAGTTTATCGACTTGGTGCTGAAGCACATCGACACCTCAGCCATGATGGACCTTCTCCTCCGCCTCATCAGCTGCGTGGAACCAGCCCAGTTGCGCCAGGAAGTGCTACACGTGAGGCTCGCCTTGAGACCCTTGGCCCCGCGGAGGGTGCTCAGTGGGGCCAACGGGGACAGCTTCTCCTAGGATAGCAAAATGTGCAGCGCCCCTGGGGAGATTCTGGCCTGTGAGCTCTGTTTGGTAGAGGGTTGGCCCTCCAGTATCAGGGCCAGGACCTCAGCTGGAAGAGGGACATGTCTTACCTTCTGAACGCAGGGAGGGCTGCATCCCGACCCCCGTGTTGCTCGACATCCTTGCAATGACCCCCTTTGGGGGGCTGTGTGAAGAACTTGCCGGCCAGCAGTCACAATACTCAGGTCCCTCCCTTCCCCCCCCCGGAGGGGAAGGAGAGAAAGTTCTTCTTGGGTGATTCTGTTTTCCTGGCTCACACCTGCGTTTCAGCTAAGAAGCCTTCCTGCTGTTTAGGGTGAATGGTCAGAAGCGGCTTGGGCTGCAGGTCTCTTTGCTTGCCCCTCGGGATCGCCACCTCCTGCTTGCAGCCTGCCTCTGTGTGTGTGTGCGTGTGCGCAGAACTGACCACCCTTCCTGGAGGGCATTCTCTTTCAAGGGGCTGATTATCGCTGGCCAGGGGCCACAGGGAGTGATAAGGGATCCCCCAAAGGAGGGATAGACTGGGGTCCTGGCTGCGGGGCCTGAGCTGCTGGGAGGCTCCCTCATTTCCTTTTCTCCCCCTTCCCCTTCAGTGGCTGAACGAGGAGAAGGTCATCCAGAGGCTTGTGGCGCTGATCTGCCCCAACCAGGATGAGGAGGTGAGTGTGGAAGAACACACACACACACACACACACACACACACACACACACCCGGTGAGTGGCCTTGTGTGCCTCTTCCTTCCGGTTTCTCTAGGGAGGAACCACTTTGGGAGGTGCAGCTGTGTGTCTGTGCCCATCATGTTGCGGGCCAGGAGGGAGGAAGGAATCCTGCTTCCCGACACTTTGATCAGATTTATTTATTTATTTATAAATTATTTTTACCCTGTTTTTTTTAAAGGACCTGAGCAGGCTTATGTAGTAATTAAAAAGACAATATTTAAAAACTAAAGTTGGTATTTAGTTAGTTAGTTTTACTTCATCTTTCTCCTTGAAAAGAACTCAAAGTGGCTTACAATAATGAAAGACATTATTTAAAGTTGGAAACAATGAATGTACAGTGGCATAGCAATATATCTGTGAAGAGTCTCAGTTATCCAGGTGAGGTTATCTGGAAGTTGAGTCATGGCAACTGGACTTCTTTCTTATTCAGTTGAAACGTTTTGCTCCTTGTCCGAGTAGCTTCTTCAGTCTGAGGGGAGTCGATAGGAGATTCCCTGATAGATCCTCCCCTTTAGTTTCACTTCCCCCTGGTCTGACTAGGCTCCTATTTATCATGCTGCCCTTTCATCCCTCCTCAGAAAGATCCGGACCAAACACACCAGAAAGGAAGATCCCTGTTAATGACTCTTAATGACCCAGGAAGATGGGTGGAGAAGGAGGGCAGAGGTGGGATTTTCACTCTCACACACCCTCCTTTGTCCATCTGACCAGCCCTTTCAGACCAGGGGGAAATGAAACCAACCAGGAGAATCTATCCGGGGTCTCCTACCAACTCTCCTCAGACTGAAGAACCGACTTGGATGAGTAGCAAAACGTTTCAACCTAACAAGAAAGAAGTCCAGTTGCCATCACTCAGCTTCCAGATACAACGATGGTTAACATCAGTAAAAGACAATATTTAAAACTATGAACAATGAGCAGGCTCATAAAGGGAGAGGCGGTCCTTGAGATAACTTTCGGACTCAAAGCCATTTAGGGCGTTAGAGGTTAAAACCAGCACTTTGCATTGTGCCCGGAAACGGGTTGGCAGCCTGTGGGGCTGCAGTAACAGTGGGGGTGATGCGATCCCTGTGTTCCAGGCCCAGCCAGCCATCTGGCTGCTACATTTTAGACCCACTGAGGTTTCCTTACACTTTCCAGAGGTAACCCCATGTAGAGTGTGTTACAGTAATCCAGCCGGGATGTAACTAAGGCATGTGCTGCTGTGGCCAGACCTCTCAAGAGTGAGTGCAGCCGGTGCACTAGTTTTAAATGTGCAGGGTTGAAGGTGAGGAGGTCTGCCGGGCTGGGTCCACGACCCCCAAGACGAGCCTTTGACCCAGAGGTGCCCTCTCTTTTCCTGCACAGCGGCAGTCCAACGCCTCCCAGACCTTGTGCGATCTCATCCGGCTCAGCCGAGACCAGAGCAGCCAGCTCCAGGAGGCCGCTGAGCCCGATCCTCTCCTTGCAGCCCTGGAGTCGTAAGTAGCAGACGGGAAGAGGAGCACCACCTTCTCCTCCTCCTCCTCCTCCTTCCTGCCCAAGAAAGTCAGATCCTTCACAGGGAGTGTCCCCGACTTGGGTCCTGTAGCGGTTTAGGTCTCTGTTGGCCCCATTTTTTTTTCTTTTTTGGATGTCGTGTCAAAGGCAGTGTCGTATGGTGGTCAAAGGCAGGTAGAGGGAGTCGATGCAGAAAGACAGTTCAGATCCCCCAGCCCACTGTGAACCTGCCTACATCGCCTCAGGCCAGCCGTGGGCTCAGTCTCACCGGCCTAGCAAGGTGGAAAGGGAGGCAGGAGAGCCAGAAGTGCCATGGCAAGCCCCTTGGGGGAAGGGTCTGGTCTTGTTTGCCCCGCTGGTCCTGTCCGGTTGGCTGTCCGGTTGGCTGTCCGGAGAAGGATGCCGCTTCCAGGTGTGGCGGAAAGGGAGGACTGGGGACAGCACCCCACGGAGCAGAGGCCCCAGGGCTGCGTCCGGCCGAGCCACCGGGGGCAGGGCGGGGGCTCCTCTTGTGTGGATGCCTCCCTGCCCTGGGAAGGGGGCGGCTGAAGGGCCACTTTGTCTCGGCAGGCAGGAGTGCGTGGAGCAGCTTCTGAAGAACATGTTTGACGGGGAGCGGACGGAGAGCTGCATCGTGAACGGAACCCAGACTTTGCTGACGCTACTCGAGCCGAGGCGTGTCTGGTGAGTCCTCTGCCAGGTCCGGGGTGGGGCCTGCATGCCGCGTGGCTGTCTCTGTCAGCATTCCCTCGCCCAGGGCTACGCCGTCAGTCGTGTGATCTGTGCCTATCGGTTGGCCTAGGACAAGGCTGAGTGGGTCTTGGTTGGGGGCACGCGGCGCTGCTGCTGCTGCTGCTGCTGCTCAGGGGCTGGCTTTTCCACGTTTTCCTAGAGGGGCCGAACGAGGTCCTCCCCGTGGGTGGGTTGTCTCTCTTCCACTCAGCTTGATGGGCGGGAGCGGAAGAACCCTCTTTGTTCAGGAGCTCCTCTTCCTCTGTCTGGCAGAGAGGGCAGCCCAGCAGTGCCTTCGTTCTCAGCAGGACGGTCTCCTCGCTTGCTTCTTGTCTGTCGCTTAAAGAAAAGGAACCCCTTTCTGCTTCCCTTTTGGACCTGTTTGGAGCCACCCCATTGGAAGCTCAGTCTTCTTTTTAAGGTCTAAGGCATGACTGGCAGGAGTCCCTTTTTTCTCAGCCGAGGCCTCCTTGGGGCACCTCTTTGGGGGACCTGCCACAGGTGTCCCTCCACTGTGTGACCTCTCGCCCTTCTGGGGAGTTTCTTTGGGGTCTTGGAACCCGAGTGTCCGGGATCCACCTGGGACTGTCAGCTTTCGTAAGTGCCATCATCCTGAGGACCTCTTCTTTCTCCCTCTGTTTGGAAGAGGAACTTACTGTGACGTGTTCCTTTTGTGGAGGGGGGGGGAGAAGGATGTCCTCCTTCTCGCTGGGGAAAGGGTGCTGCGCGATGCTGGAGACAGCTTACGAGTCAGATCTCAGGGAGACGTGAAGGCAGGTGCCCGCCCCCCCTCCTTCTGGACTGGTTTTGGTTCTGTGTTCTCTCATTTTGTCCTTGGAACAAGGCTCAGGCTGGGGGGCCCCTTCCCCTAGACGGAGATGGGGAAAAGATAGGTCCTTAACCCCCCGTTAGTCGAAATGAATGGAGGGGACGGCCCGTTGTCAGTTCATCCTACCCCCACCCCATACAAAAGGGACGTGCCACACACAGCAAGTGTCCCAACATGACTTTGGTCAGATATGCTGTCTAGATCCACTGAGGAGGGATGTAAGAAAAGCCCTGGAGCCAAGGCAGAGCCATGGGGGGCATGACGGGGGGCAGGTTCTGTCTGGCCCCCTCTTCGGTTCCTCTGGGCACAGCATGACAGGGGGAGGCTTTCTGTGGCTGTTGTAATCTGAGGTAGACTTCCTCTGAACCTGGAGTCCCCACATATGTGTCTGTTCTGAAACCTTTAATGGCATTTACAAATTACAACAGCACAAGCAAAACAGGAAAAGTAAAATTACACGAATTTCACAAATTAGGAGCGAGAAGCCGGGGACAATTTCAGAATTGCAGATAAGAAACGTGCAACAGCAGCGGTCAGGGCATTACATTCATCGCTCATGAAAATAGAAAGAATTGTGCTCAAAGGCTGTCCAGTCGTAGCAGAACCGTGGCCCTCTGTGGGACACAAATTCCTCTTGCCCGGCTCCAGTTTTCTGACTGTGTCACGGGAAGCCACGAGTATTTTGTAGGACTTCAGGAATGTAAAGTGAGTGAAACAAAACGTAAGGCCAAATCAAATCATTGTACAGTGGTGTCTTGCATTGCAACTTTAATTCGTTCCAGCGAAATCGCTGTCACAATGCGAAATAAAAAAGCCCATAGAAGCGCATAAAAACGCAATTAATGCGTTCCTAGGGGCTTCAAACTCACCGTTCAGCGAAGATCCTCCATAGCACGGCCATTTTCGCTGCCTGTTAAGCGAGGAATCCATCCCAGAAAACAGCGGGCAGCCAAGTTTTTTCCTGGCAGCCATTTTGAAACTGCCAACCAACTGTGCGAAAATGGTCGCTTTGCAATGATCGGTCATAGCAAAGCGAAAAAACCCCATAGGGAACATCATAAACCGATCGCAAAAGCAATCGCGAAAAGTTCGTTTCAAATTGATTTCGTCGCTAAACGGATCGCTCGCTAAGCGAGGCACCACTGTATTTGGTTTTCAGCCATGAAGACTTAAGTTTCAACAATGAGAAATTCACGCCTGGGGAAGGTAGTGAAAGAAGCTGTCTTATGTTCACCCAGACTTGGGATACTGAGAGGTGCCTTGTTCCTGGAAGACTCCTTAGTCGCCCTGGGTAGAATGACAGGTCTGAGTGGTGATCAGTCTAACTGGGCGGATAAGAGTGTGTCCATATCACACACTCTTTTTCTTGTAGGCTTCATACAACAAAAGAACGAGAGGATGGTTTTGGTGCGTTGAAGTTGGGGGTTTTTTGGGGGGGGAGAGGGGGGACAAGGAGATTCTGGAGCGTGCCGGTGCCTGTGAGTGCATTCTCTTACAGGATTCTTAACCTGGGGGGGGGGAGGACGACTGGAAATGTGACTTCCGTGGCTGGGTGGCTGCTTCGCGGGGGATTCGTGGTGCTGAGCAGTGAACGGAAGAGCATAGCAAGGGCTTTGAACGGGGGGGGGGGGCAGGCCCAGGCCCTGGTTCTTGGCCCAGCCTGGTCGAGCTCGGTTGTGTTTGCTTTGTGTCTTGAACGTGGTTTGCCTCTCTGCCCACAGCATGGAGGGGCTGACGGACTCCTTCTCTCAGGGATTTGAACGGTCATACACTGTCAATAGCAGTATCTTGCAAGGCATTGAGCCGCGGCTGTACGATTTCCACCAACTGCTGCTCCACCCTCCCAAGGTAAAGGAAGAGACGGGTCCTTCCTCCCTGGGAGAGACTCCCTTTGCTTTTCTTTGCTGCTCACGGGTCCTTCGCTGTCTTCTCCTCAGGGTCCAAGCACCAGGACACACGCTTGTGTGTCCAGGTGTCTCTCTCTCTCTCTCTCTCTCTCTCTCTCTCTGTGTGTGTGTGTGTGTGTGTGTGTGTGTGTGTGTGTGTTCTGAATCTAGTTAAGCCAGTTAAGGGAACTGGGGAGGGGCATATGAGGCCCCTGGGCCAGGATTGGGAGTCGTTTTGCCAGTGCTTGAGTTGTGTTGGTGGAACTCTGCAGTTTGATCGCAAGGAGACCACAGGGTGGAGAGAAGGACGCTCAAGTGCCTGACGTGGTTTCATTGGGAGAAGATGTGAAGCTTTAGAAGAGGTCGTCAGGTTGGTCTGTGCTCGCATATCAGGCAAAAACAAACAAAAAATCAAAAAGACAAGAATGTTGTGGCACCTTAAAAACTGTTGCATTTTACTGTCACATTGCTGTATAAAACAAACTTTAAGGTGCCACAGTGTTTTGTCTTTTGTTTTTGCCTGTTAAGCTTCTGAGTTGCACGGAGCTCTTGCGTCCATGGGGAGCCTGCGGACACCCGTGGCAGCTGCATCTGCTCTAGCAACAGGGCTTCTTTCCCTGTTCCGTCTTTGTTGCTGGCATGACTTGGACCAGCACGAGACGAGGGACAAGGTTGATGCCAGACTTGAAAAGCTGGTGTTTTGCTCAAGGCTGGGATTAGTCCATGCCGAAAAGCTGTCTCCCTTCCTTGTTGCTGGCAGGCAGCCCCCATTCTGACCACCATTGGGGTCCTAGAGGAGCCTCTTGGGAATGCCCGCCTCCACGGTGCCCGCCTGATCGCTGCCCTGCTGCACACCAACACGCCCAGGATCAATCAGGAACTCTGCCGGCTGAACACCATGGATGTGCTGCTGGTGAGTAGTGGGCAAGAGAGGGCGGAGGGCAGGGAGGGAGGGAGGGAGGGGGAGCGGGAGCCCACTTGCCTGCGGCTTGCTGGGAGGCAGCTTCACAGGCCTCACGGAGGAACGGTGGCAGTGGCGGCCCCTC